GGGGGGGGGGGTTCTCGGGTCACCATCATCCTCGTCGTCGTCCTCCTCCTCCTCCTCCTCCCCCTCCTCATCCCCCTCCGCGTCCCCCTCCTCCCCCCTCCTCCCGGCAGCCTGACTTCTCTCCCAAAACTCGAATCGCGCGGAACGCAGTTTCGGGAGAGGACCTCCCAGAGGTGCTCTCCGCTCCATCGAGGATGTATCGAGCGGCGGTTCGCTCGCCCAAATCGCTGCGGAGAGGCCCGAACATTTCAGGAGAGCCCCACCTCAAAACAAAGCAATCATGGGAGAGGACCTCTGGGAGGTACCCCCCCGAAACGCGGTTTTGGAAGAAAGCGGTTTTGGGAGAGAGAATCCTTCAAAAGGGCCAGGTCCAACGGAGAGGGCGAGGACCTCTGCGAGGTTCTCGAAGAGCGGCTATGGGAGAGGACTTCCCAGAGGTCCTCTCCCATGGCCCGAGAACCCCCCCCCGATTCCTCGCCGGCGGCTCTGCGCCCCCCGATTTCTCGCCCGTGACCCCCCCACCCCAGACGCCCCAAAAGGCCCCCCCCGCTCCCCGATTTCTCGCCGGTGGCCCCAGAGCCCCCCCCCCTCGATTTCTCGCCGGGGGCCCCGGAGGCCGCTTCCCGATTTCTCGCCGGCGGCCCTGGAGGCCCCCCAAGAAGCCCCAAGAGGCCTCCACGAGGCTACCAAGAAGCCTTCAGGAGGCCCCCCAAGAAACCCCCCAAAGCCCCCACGATGCCCCAAGAGCCCTCCAAGAGCACCCTGAGGCATCAAAAAAAAACCCTATAAGCATGCCAGGGGCTACTGCCAACTAGATAACTTCCACGATCGTCACAAGATCTCGCTCGTCCTCGGAGTCGGCGGAATAGCGTAAGCCACTTGAATCAAATTCTCTCGTGCGCACCAAGTCGCCCCGACACAGCCTCAGATGCCCGTGGGGAGCCCCAGGGCACCACGAGAGGGCCAAACGCGGACCCAGGATGGCCTCCAAGATGCCAGAAGAAAGGGGAAGAGGATGTGACGGGGAAGGGGGAAACTGGGGGTAGAATGGAAGAAACGGGAGAGGGAAGGCTGCCTGGTAGTGCGCCGGGATCGCCACCAGTGGCGCCACCAAGGTACGCACGCCGTCGCGATCGAAGTCCCGAGCCGCTCCATGTGCCCAGGTTCAGATGCGCGGCCGAACTATTGCACGTGGTTGGAGGGAGGGGAGCGATCGCACGATAACGCGGGCTTGGCCGCGATCTCCGCCCGTGGGCCCATGAATTGCTTGCCAAAACGGCGCGTCAACATGTTAAAACATGCTGGCGCCCAGTTTATGCTTGCCGTTTGATCGGTCAGGCGACCGTGACTACAAGATAATGGAGACTGGGTCGCGATCTATCTCGATGGGCCGGGATTTTCTGGCCAATTAGGGGCGTCACTATTTGAATGCCCTCCGCTGGGTCTGCAAAGAGACGGAGTGCACTACGCAACGGGGGCAAGGATCGGAGAGGAGGGTCGATGATCGAGGAGGGCCGAATACTGATGATGACGAGGATGAGGAGGAAAATCGATGGGGCCACACAACGCCCCTGTCACTGGGGCTCCATGTGGCCACAAACGGTGTGAGGGTTGGAGGGGTCTGCCGAATCTTAGGCGGTTGCCGCGCGCGGCCCCTGCCACTGGAGTCTCGGGCGGGGCCCCCGCGCGCGGCCCCCTGCCGCTGGGGCCTCAGGCGGAGCCGCGTATGAGGCCGCAAAACGTGTGAGAGGTGTGCCAACAGTGGGCGGCCACCGCGTGGAACACTGTGTATTCAAACCGATGGCCCAAAATTGCAAGATGCCGGATAACGAAAAACAAAGCAGACGCCTGAGCTTCGTGTCCGAGTGCCCGTTATGTAACTGAGCTGGCGGCGGGGGGCGAGGAAATTCCCCGCGCATCTGAGCCCGGCTCTTGGCTCGCACCGAGCAGTGAGAAATCCGAGTCATCATGGCTGCCTGCACGCGGACTCCTAGCAAGAGCTGGCAGAAACTTTCATCGCCGCCCCTCCCCCCATCCCCTTTCCCCCCGTCTTCACCCCTCCTTCTCTATTTCCTCCGTCCCCCGTCCTCTTCCCGCTCCGCTGCCCCGACCGCTTTCCAGCCCGCTCTCCCTTCCCCCGAACGGCAGCAGCGTGAAGGGGAAGGAAGATGAGGACGAGGGGAATGAGGCCGGTGAGACACTAGCCTCATGAGCAACACAAGGAGGCGGGAATAGGAGGAGGGGCGTAAAAAAGGTGAACGGGATAAAGATGGAGGGTTGGGCAGAGGCCTGCATGAACGAAGGGCGCCCGAGACTTTAAGATGGCGGCAGCTTTCAACGCCTGCGATGGCCCGCCAAGGGCCCCATCATTGCTGCAGAAGTGCACGAATGCCCGCCCGCCCACGCCTGTTACGCGCACGCGTCGAAGCCGCGGCGCCCGCCCCGTAGAATCTCCAGAAAATCTGCTACGTCGCGTCTAACACCTACCAGATCGAATCATGCGCCCTACTGCATACACAATGCGAACGACCTGCCACCTACCTCGCGTTGGAACTGGAACTGGAGAGGCTGTGCGCCACTATGCCGAAGTGAACGGGGGCCCTCCCGCCCCACCTGCGCGCGCACGTCGGCCCGCTGTTTCGAAGCTGATCCGAACAGCGCCGGTGCTCCGAAGAGGTCGGCCGAATCGCGCGGCGGGCGGGGCTGCCGGCAGGGCGAGGCGCAGCAGCAGGAAGAGCAGGACGAGGAGGGGAAGGGGGGGAGGGCAGGAGGGAGGGGGAGAAGGGGGGCGGGAAAGGAGGGGAGAGAGGGAGGGGAGGAGGAAGGGGACGAGCAGGCACGCGCGGGAGCTGGCACGCTGGGTCCTCCTTTTCTTTTTCCTTATTCTCCTCCTCCTCCTCCTCCTCCTCCTCCGCCTCCTCCTCCTCTTCACCCCCTTCCGCTACGGTCGTTTGCTTTTCCCCCCCTCCCTCCCGCCGCTCGTCTGCCGCCTCTTCTTTGCACTTATCTCCTAAGAATACCCCTCCGACCATGCTCCTCGGCATCCTCGTCTCGATTTCTCCTCGTCCGCGACCTCTTCCTGTTCCCCTCTTCCAGACCCGATTCGTTGGCCAAAACCAACCGTCAAGATTTTCAAACATATCGACGGCCCTTTTTCCCTTCCCTTTTGGGGGTGAGCCGGGAAGGCACGATTACAGGCTAAAACAACCTCTTCCGAACCCGATTCGGTGGCCAATATCTGGCGTCAATCTTTTCAAAAATATTGTCGCCCGATTTTTGCATGTCCGGGGAGTGCGCCAGGACCTCACGGACATAAGAAGGGAAAACAACAACGTGTCCCCCCCTTTCTCTCTCTCATCCTTGCTCCCACTGTCTCGCCTCCGACACGCCTGGCAACTCCTCAGCTGTTATCCCAATCGCATATTGCGAAGGCATTACGGCCGGTGCCGCCGACCCTGGAGGGCGACGACGACGACGACGAGCGCTCTCGGGGGCCTCTTGGAGGTAGTTTTGGGGCCTCGTGGGAGGCGATTGGGGGCCGTTTGGGAGCCTCGTGGGGGCCTCTTGGGGGTTTCTGGGGGGGGCCTCTTGGAGCTTCTACGGGCCTGCGGGGGCTTCCTGGGAGCTTCTCAGGCCGAGGGCTCGAAGTATCCGTTCGGGCCCCCGTCCGGGCTCACTCTTGGAGCCGTCTTGGGGGTCTCTTCGGCTGTCTTGGAGCCCTCTTGGGCGGTCTTGGGGCCCTCTTGGGTCGTTTTGGGGCCCTCTTGGAGGCCTCTTGGGCCATCTTGGGGCGGTCTTGGGGGCCTCTTGGCCTGTCTTGGAGCGTCGGGAAGCTGACAAGGCGAGAAAGCCGAATTCAAAAACCTAGAAATGAAATCTATGATGTTTGCTCCTTCGGGCCCTCTTGAGAGTGCTCTTGGAGGCCTCTTGGAGCTTTTTGGAAACCTCTTGAGCCGTCTGGAGGTTATCGCCACTTGGACCGATAATTCGGCGATTCGGGGCCCTCGAGGACCTTCTTGGGGGCCTCTTGGGGCACTTTTGCTACGTCTGGGGGCCCCGGAACCGCCCTGGGGGGAGTCGCATCTCACCCGCGACCCCCCCCCCTGGGCACCCCCCCACCCCCGGCGGGGAACGGATCAAAGGGAAGGGGCTTCCCTTCGATTAAACTACAACGTTGTGCAATTTCGCTGTGGCTGCCGCTCGAGGAGGAGGGCCCGGTGAGAATGGGGACACCGGCGACGGGCCCAGGGAAAGGGAGGGGAGCGGCGACGGCGACGGCGACGGCGACGACAACAGCTGTCATCCCCGTCACCCATTCCTCTCTTCCCCCCTCCTTTTCGTCCTCCCCCGCCATCATTCCCTGCACATCCCTTCTCTTACGTCCTCCCTCCCTCCCAGTTTCCCACCTCCCGCCCTCGTGTCTGCCTCCTCCTCCTCCGCCCGCCTACATCCTTGTTCCCGCCCTCCTACCCCTCCCGCTCTCTTTCTCCGCCCTCCTATCTGCATACCTCCTGCCTTACTCCTTCTCCTCCTCCGCCCTCCTCCTCTGCCTCCTACCTCCCTCTTACTCCTTCGCCCTCCTACCTCCTACCTCCGTCTTCCTCCTCCTTTCCCTCCTCCAACTTTCCAAACTCCCGCGCGCGTCGGGCGGAGACATTCACTGCCAGTGGAGGCGCCACGGGCGGAGGTACGACCAGCACAACCGCCGCCGCCGCCGTCCTCCTGCTGCTCCTCCTCCTCCTCCTGCTCCTCCTGTTCCTCTTTCCTCCTCCTCCCCCTCCTCCTCTTCCTCTTCCCCCTCTTCCCTCCTTCTCCAGCCCCTTCCTCATCCCTCCGCCCTCCGCCTCCTCCTCCCTCCTCCACTTCCCTCATCCTTCTCTCCCTCCTTCCTCCCTCTCCCTCCTATCCCTCCTGCCCCTCCTCGTCCTCGCCATCCTTCTGCTGCTGGTCCTCCTCCTCCTCCTCCAGCAGGGCTCGCGCGCGGAGGCGCGCTGGGCGGAGGTGCGGCCACCGCGGCAGCCGCCGCCATCGTCGCCGCCGCCGTCGTCGTCGTCGTCCCTCATCCTGCTCCTCGCCCTCCTCCCTTTCTCCGCCTCCATCTTCCTTCTCCGCCTCCTCCCTCCTCCGCCTCCTCATCCCTCCTCCGCGAGCTCCTCCTCCTCCTCCTCCTCTCCCTCCCTTCTCCCTCTCCATCCTATCCCTCATGCCCCTCGTCGTCGTCGTCCTCCTCCTCCTCCTCCACCTCCTCCTCCAGCGGGGCTCGCGAGCGGAGGCGCGCCGGGCGGAGGTGCGGCCAGCGCCGCCGCCGCTGCCGGCGTCGTCGTCGTCGTCCCTCCTCCTGCTCCCTCTTTCTCCCCCTCCCTCTTTCTTTCTCGTCGTCCTCCTCGTGCTCCTCGTCCTCCTCCTCGTCGTCATCATTCTCCAGCGGGGCTCACGCGCGGAGGCGCGCCTGGCGCAAGTGCGGCCAGCACGGCCGCCGCCGCCGTCGTCGCCGTCGTCCTCCTGTCCTTCTCCTCTTCCTCCTTGTCCTCCTCCTCCTAGTCCTAGTTATCGTCCTTCTCCTCATTTTCGCCTACTTGTTCCCTCGAGCATGCCACCCGGAATCGCAAACCTCTACGGCGCGAAACCTCCAACAGCTGTGAACAAGGCATGTAGGCAATTCACGCTCTGAAATGGGGAGGGGGGTCGGAGGAGCGATGCCGACAGTCGTCCCCCGCAGGCCAGGTGGCCCCCCCGAGGCCGGGCGGGGGTCCGCGCCCCGGGGGGGGGTCCCCTATGCGGCAGCCAGGGCCGGCACGGGCGGGCGGGGCCACGGCGGCTCCCCTCCCGTGTGTCGTGGGGGGGCCTCCTGCGAGGAGGGCATCGCCTGCAGAATGGAGCTGGCCCAAACTTGCATCTGGCCATCGCTCGGACGTCCATTCCCTGTGTTTTTGTTCGGTTTCGCGCGTGGCTTGTTCGCCAAATGATCGAGGATGCTCCTCGATGGTCCTCGCCGAAGGAAAACTGCACACGTCCGAGCGATGCCAAGGCATTGTCCGTGGGCTATATGCGGAACACGCATCAAGATGCTCGCAGATCCACGAGCGTTCTATGCACCTGCTGGTAGATTCGGCGAACAGCTCAATGTTGGGCCAAATCAGCTCTGTAGTGGATCACCCACTCGACTCCTGAAGGGGTTCGACCCCCCCCCGCTATCCTTATGTTGCTTCCATCGCACTTAAAGACCAAATCCCAGAAATAATTTCAAGCACGCAGAGAAGTACCGAAACAGTGTCGAACGAATATGGCCTCCCAAGGCCCGACAGGTGAAAATCTCAAATTTCGGTACTTTCTTGGTGCAGGATGCTTCTGGGAAAAACCAAGACTAAAGTAAGTTGGAACATTATAACGCTATCCCACGTCCTGGCCCCTCCCCCCATACCAGCCGCCCTCTCCGCAAGCGGGGCGGGCGAGTCCAGCGGTGGCGACGAGGGCCTCCCACAGAGGCCCGAGAAGGCGACGAGGCCAGGGCAGAGGCCTCGGTACCCCGAGCGAGGAGGAGGAGGAGGAGGAGGAGAAGGAGGACGAGGAGGACGAGGAGGAGGAGAAAGGGAGGAGGAGGAGGAGGAGGAGGAGGAGGAGGAGGAGGAGGAGGACAGGGAGGCGGACAGGAACCAAGGGAGGGAGCGAGGAGGAAGGAGGAGGAGGCGGAGGAGGCGGAGGCGAGGAGGACGAGGAGGAGGAGGGACGAGGAGGAGGCAGGAGGAGGGTGAGGACGAGGAGGAGGAGGAGGAGGAGGGACGAGGAGGAGGAGGAGGGGGAGGAGGAGGGGAGGAGGCGAGAACAGGGAGGGAGGCCCTCTTCCGCCTCCGTGATCCCAGGGCCTGCGGTCGCCCCCGCGGCCATCGTCTCCTGCGCGGCCGCGGCCCGCGTGGCCGGCGCGCCGCCGGCGGCGAGCAGCACCAGCGCGCCGCGGCGAGGCGCGCCGCCG